CTGTGTGCACGCAGGGGCTCCGGGGGGTGGAGGAAACTAGGAGTAGGGCTGCCATATGGGGCTGGGCTGGCCCGGTGGCATGGAGAGGGCGGGAAGGCCCAAATAGTCACAGCTCCCTTTCTGCTGGCAGCCTGGAGGGAAGGTTCAAGTTGGTACAGCTTGGAGCCAGCGGCTGAGGGCAGGACGACACATAATGCATTTTGTCTTGAGCCTAATGGCAGTCAGGGCCCTGGCGGGAAGGAAGGTGGGAGCCAGAGGGAGAACCCCTAGCAAATGACGCAGAGACACTGGCCCCACCTCCTGGCCTCATTTCCTGCCCAGGTGCAGCGGAGCCTGGTCTCGCAGCCTCCTCAACAAGGGCAGAGCTGCTGGCCCAGTCTCCCGGGGGGCGGGGAGGAGCAGTGCCGCCATTGCCTGGTCTCGCCAGCTCCCTTCTTGGGGAATCTCCAGCAAGAGGAGAAACTTGGAGCAGAGAGTTCCCCTGCCAGGAGTGGGGTGCCCACCCCAGCACCCCAGATTGTGGGACATGCTCCAGTTGTTCTGGTGGGCTGCGCTGCAATGACGGTAGCCCAGAGGAGTCAGCCAATAAAGCGGCGACCCCACTCAAGTCTCTTCTCCTGTAACCACCGAATTCCGATCTCCTCACAGCGGCAAGCACCTGTGGGTCTCCTGCCCAAGGGCTCCCCGCTCTCCCAGCGGCCCTCCGGTCAGCAGCTCCTGTAGGAGGGGCACCAGGGCAGATACCTCTTGAGTCTGGCACTGCCACAGCATCTAACAGTAGCCCCTGAGCTGGGCACACTCCATGGCCAGGATGTGGCTCCCCCACGCCTAAGAAAAGGCATTTCCATCCCAACCACAGGCTCTCAGCAGGGACACAGGCCAAATAAGCACCACTGACACAAGTCTGCTTAGCTTGGGGTAAACTCGCAGCAGGCATTTTAGGGAGTCAGATTCCCTTTCCTTTAAAGAAACTTTGTGTGACATGCAGTATTTTAAGAGCCCTGAAGCTGGGGGCAATGACCTCTGGCAGAGAGGAGGGGAGAGGGTAGGTTGGATCTAAGAAACAGAGCGTGGGTCCAGAAGAAGAACGAAAGAGAAGAAAGAAAGAAGGCTGAGGGGAGAGCATCTCTTGAAGGCACTCTGATAGCTGCCAAGCTCTCCTTAATATTGCTGGCAAAGAAACCTGAGCCCCCCAGAATCTACCAGGGCCAAGGATTCTGAGCTAGTCTCGGAATCAGGGCCCCTGAAACTTTCCACTGACAGCTGGCCATCTGTCATGCCCCCGATAGCATTATGCCTCTTTTTTGTTCATAGAAAAATCAGGTCCACTATCCAACCTCAAGGCTCACTCTGCTAGCTGAGCAATGTGAAGGTCAAGATCTAAGTGCATATTCTTTTTTTATTTATTTATTTATTTATTTACTTTGAGAGAGAGTGAATGCACAAGCAGGGAAGGGCAGAGATAGATGGAGACAGAGAATCCCAAGCAGGCTCTGCGTCCCTAGCACAGAGCCAATGTGGGGCTCGAACCCAAAAACCATGAGATCATGAACTGAGCTGAAAACAAGAGTTGGATGTTTAACCGACTGACCCACCCAGGAGCTCCTTGAGTGCATATTCTTGACGGTGAGTTCCCTGGTCTCAGAACCACAAATAGATGTTGGAAATGGAGAGAAATTAAAGGGCCATTCAAGCTCACCACATCTATCCACAAAAGTGAGTCCCACCAATTCCTCTCTTACCTCACAGGGGTCCTGAGTTCAGAGCCACCCCATTCAGTGCTCTGGGGCCCTATACCCTCCCCTCCCTGCACCCTCTGCATGGGGTAACTACTCACAAGCCTTCCTAGCCAGGTACTTGCCCTGGGAGCACCAGTTACTGGCCTGCACATTTCTCTTGAGCACTGGGTGAACCAGTTCAACTAGTCTTGCCTTTCCTAAAGTTTTTTTTTTTTTTAATCTGGCAGGCTGCTACTGGAGGCTTTCCAATCCACAGCTCAGGCCAACCCTCATAATAAGAAAAATACTACTTTCTATCTGCCTCATTTAGGAGGTTTCTACTTTTTTTCCTTTCGTGGTTAACTAAATTTCATCTTATATAACCACTGCAAATTTTCTAGAAATTTCCCCAATTCATGCCAGCAATTACAGAAAGTGTGTGTGTGTACACACATGAGAAATCTCCAGAGGAGTGACCAGGAGTTCTGGTGAATCTTCATAAGAAAACAGCACTTTTCTCTCCATTCACTAAGAAAGCCTCATCTTGCCCAGTTTCCAGAAGATTCTGAGAGCTCTACACTTCACAGATTAAAGAACGTAAAGAAGTCCTCTCACATTTCTTTTTACCAGACAAGATAAAGTGAAGCTGGGGAGGTGGGGATGATGAGAGATCATGGGTAAAATAGGTTATTGGCAAAACCAAAAAACACCCAGACGTCCTGACTTGGGACTTTGGCCTATGGCCCCTGAAATGCCTGTCTCTATGTGAGCTAGAACAAGCCCTAGACAAGCTCTGGAGACTTCTACTCCATATACACATCCCCGGTGGCAAATGCCTTCTCTTATCGGGAAGGTTTAGATGTCTTCACAAAACAGAGACTGGCTATCAGGAGTAGGTCATAAAGGCATTAAGCACCCAGAGCGGCCAGCCCGCCATTTCTGCAGCATCTTCATCCCCTTAAGTCAAATTCCACTGACAGGACCAGATGCAACATGCCTCTCCTTGCCTCTGGTGGTAAAGGGCTGGCTTTTGCAAAAGAGATCTTTGAGTCTCTAGTTTACACACACACACACACACTCACTCACTCACTCACTCACTCACTCACATCCTGAAGAGGTGGCCCTTCAATTCGAGGAGGAGTGGAAAATGGGATAGAGCTGAGAATAGCTGTAGCTGTGTCTCAGGCTGGTTGGGCAACTTCTTCTTCTAAGGGGACTCTGAGTCTGGCTTCTGCGGGTGGCCTGTGCCCAGGGTGTGCTGCCAAGCCAGCTCTCCCATGGAAGTGAGGGGAGAGGGAGAAGGGCCCCTTCCCTGGGGCTGCGGGCAGGGAAGAGAGCTCCAGGCAGCACTGGGCACTTATAAGCCTCTCGCTTTCCCTGTTCTCGGAATGGGGTGTGCGGGTACTTCTCACTCAGGTGGCCCCAAGAGCACTCTGTCCTCCACAGCTGCCCTTGCGAAGTTCTCCCTGCTGACGTCAAGAGCCTAGTCCTCTCGGGTGGAACCCATTCTGAGGCTGCTTTGTGTTTTTATGACAGCAATGCAGTGTCTACAGAGAACTCTCCGCAGCAGTGCACAGGACAAAAAAGCGGTCTTCATGAGGGCTCTGCACATGTGGAGAATGAGTGAACAGAGTTTCTGAGGCCATGGCTGGGGAGGGCTTGGGCCATGGGAGAAGCCTCGGCTCCCTCCATGGTCCCAGGCAGAGACAAGGAACATGACAGAGTGGAGCTGGAGCATCCTGTAAGGAACGTACACTGACAAGTCTGACAGGAAGCCCAGAGCTCATGTGACAAGTTTCAGAGACGTGGCCCGTGTCCCAGGGACAGGGAAGAAGAGGGGCTTCCTGGGCACCAGGTAGCAAATGAAGGGGAAGGAAATGCTGGGGGCAGAGGCAGGGCCACAACGTTCCCTGCGGCTGGTCCTGTGACCTGAGCAAATACGATCAGACCGAGTGTAGTGGAGACAAGAAGGTAATGAACCGTCTGCCCACATACCCTCAAGATCTTTCCACTGAGCAAGTAAATCAGAGATAAGAGAAAGGTAGGGTTAGATATGTCAGATTTGCTTTGAGGGAACAGTCTGGAATCATCAGGCCTCCTGGGGCTAGTGCTGTGTGGAGGCAGGAACCCAAGGACAGCTCTGTAAGGAGAGTCTACTCAGGAAACTTCGTTGTCAGGAGAGGGTTCAACTGATCACAGGCTCACCTCCCATCCGGTCCAAGGCTCTGAGAAATCACAGAGCCCGTCCTGAGCAATGCTGTGACTTTAACCCCAGAAGTAGCTCCGTGGCAGGGCCAGAACACACCCCCCTCACACCCAGTGCCTTGGAGAAGGCGCAGTTCTCTGATGAACAAGGTTTGAGGACCAGACTAAGCACATGAGAGTGAACACAGGGTGCTGGCGGAAGCCCACGGTCCCCAGCACTAAAGAGAGGTCGGTCCACTCTGGAAAATGATGAAAGGAAACCAACTCATGGACGGGCTGACATCTTTGCGGGTGATTGTCTCCGATCCAGGCCAGCTGTAACCTGCAACCCCCTGAGCACTGGCCACGGGCCAGGCTCTGTACTGAGGGGTTTTAGTGTGAGTATCTTACGTTATTCTGACAAAATCCTCGGAGCCAGGCTGCTGACAGCCCCAGTTCATGGACCTGGAGCCCAGGGCTCTGCTAACCTGAGCCACTTGTCTCAGGCTGTCCAGTCAGGCAGTGACAGGGGCAGATGCTGACGCTCACTGTGCCCACAGAGGCACCATGTTAGCAATGGCCTGGCCCGCTGATTCTACCCCTGCTGGGCTCAATGCTCGGCTCCGAAGGAGGACGCAGAGTGGCCTTGGTGGAGTGACCAGTTGGCAGGCAGTATTTTGAACCTCGAAGGGTATCCACTTGCTGAATGTATTCTGGTGTGGACAGCCAAGGCTCTGTGCACACCAGCGGCACAAATGTCCCCTTCCCCAAGGAGACGTGGTGTCCCCCCAGGCCTTCTGCCCTCAGGTGTGTAAATGGGCAAAGGCCATGTCTCCCAACCCGAGGTCCAAGGAACTAAGGGGGCAGAAGGCCTGAGCAACCCAAGAGACTTATGGGAGACGTGGGCCTGACCCCTGGGCCACTTTCCAGCTCTACCCGGCTGCCTCTCCAGCTGGTGACCAAGACACCTTGAACAGTCGGGTTCCTCAACATCACGCAGGCATTCCCACAGGAAAGTGGGTGGAAAGGCTGCCCAGAGCCACTCAAACTCGGGAAGACCCTCAGGTGGAGACTCCCCGTCCCTGGCCAAGCCCTTACCGTTGTAGGAGAGGCGAGGTTTGCTCAGACACATTATAAAGTGCATTTCCATCTCATCAGAAGCCACAGACTTGGAACAAATGGGGCACTTGAAACCTGAAAGAGAGGAAAACAGTATGAAGTGTCTCCTCCAAACCAAGAACACCCACAATAAACACAGAAACCCGCAGATGGCCACAGCCACGTGGGGTCAGAGTCAACGTGGAGAACTGCAATCTGGATACACCCTAGACCCGATGTCTCCTGCGTTAATTGTTATTTTATCACAGCTCCTGAATCCCCTAGTTTTGCCAGTGCTCTCCCTGCCACAGGCCCCTCGGTGAAGCTTATCGGAAGTCACCGGCAGCTGGTTTGAGTTTTATTTTCCATTTAGATCCTTTCCCCAGGGGCTCTAGTGGGCAGCAGGGATAGGGAGGAACAAAATCGAGGAAAACAGATCATCAGTCTCTGAATAAGACAGCGTTTGATACCCTTCCTGCTCCCAGCTCTCAAACCACGTGGCTGGATCACCTGCAGGAGGAAGGTGTCCAGCCACACTCCTCGACTACCCATAACCAGGTGGCACGCTGCCTCCTTGCGGCTCAGGTGGCGGTCCCCCAAGAGCGTGGAGCAGCAGGGCGGCCCTCTGGAGCACTCCCAAATGCCATGCGCGCCGGGGCCATATGCCACTGACAGGAACAGCTGTTCCACTACACCAGGCGAGCTCAGGGCGCCATGACCCCGCTTTCCCCCTCCCAACGCAGTTTGGACTGCTTATACACCCAAGGAGTTTTATCAGAATTGTGTCCAATTACTGGAGACTGCGGTTGAGAATCTTCTGAGCTGAACTCCATGGAGCAAATGTAGTTCCTTGACTTATTTTTCTTATAAACAACTTTTTAAAGATAAAAACGATCTCCAATTTCCCCCATTTTTATTTTTATTGAAGTTATTTTCAGATGATCAGTTCTTTTCCATGCTAACCAGAAAGATCTAAGACCATCGACAGGTTATTACTTATTTGTCCACATCAAATTTCATACATCATAGCCTCTCTCTCTTTTGTGACCACAATTCCTACCCACTCAGCCTGGACTTCCTGGGTCCAAGACAGCACATCTAAATATTGTTGTCAAGGTTCGACTCTCCCGTTAACTTTTAGTAGAAGTGTTTTTGCACCGTTTCATGGGATGCTGGTAACGTTGGGCAGCAACCTTTCTTCTGAAATAGATAAAAGGCTGAGGGCTCGTACAGACTGTGAGCTGCTCCCTCCTGGACAGAGCTCACAACTTCACCAGCATCTCTCCCAGAGCCTTGCTCCTTCTGTACGGAAAGCCCTGCACTTTGACAGCTGCTGGTGCTGAGACAGGAAGCAAGCCAGCTCCCAGGTTCCCGCGTAGGGCACACTCTGCTTAAAGTACTCTCCAAATCCTGCTCTTTTCAGTGACAGTGAACAACAGGACCAGACAGAAAATCTAGGGTCCAGTTAACAACAGACAAAGTGGACCTCACTCCATGGCATAGTCCCCTTATCCCAACCCCTTTCCTCAAAGATCATTAGCATCCTGTGTCTCAGCTAAAAAGTCTGGTGGGGCACCTGGGTGCCTCAGTCAATTAAGCATCTGACTCTTGGTTTCAGCTCAGGTCATGATCTTGTGGTTCGTGAGCTTGAGCCCCTCACTGGGCTCTGCACTGACAGCGCAGAGACTGCTTGGGATTCTCTCTCTTTCTCTCTTTCAAAATAAATAAATAAATAAACTTAAAAAAATAAAATCAAAAAGTCTTGCAAGTGCTACCAATCCAAGGGCTCTGGCCAAGCTTTGAGCAAGGGCTGTATTTTCTGATCTCTGGGTGATTATGAATCTATTAATAACAAACCCAGAAGACTGATAAGAAACATGGTGAGGGAGGGTCCATCCCCAGTTTTCAGGCAAAACTGGATCTCAGATGTGACAGGCTGATTCCTAACCCAGGTTAGAAATCTATGGACCCAGTGTGACATGTGGACAGGGGAGTAATGCACTTGAGTCTTATAGGACAGGGATGTCTTCACCTCTAATCCAAGTCCCTCTGCATCCTTGGACCTGCCCTCATGCCCAGGCCCTGCAAATAAACCAGTGTTAAGTAACATTCCACAGAATAACCAACCATTGGGAGATTGTTTTATTTTCTCCAGAGATTCCTGCACTTTTTTTTCTGACTCCAAAGACCAAGGTTTTATGATACCTTAAGTGACTACAGGACATTTCTAGTTTAAACTTATGTTAGCACCCTGTCTGCAGGCTGAGGACTCCGAGCTGCAGGCATGCTAGGGTGGATGTGCTCTGGACCAACTCCTCCAACACCAGGCCCTGATACAGTCACTGGGAGGTGCTCAAGTGAACTGTTACTACTGATAAAAGGCCTTGCACCTCACATCACTCACTTTTCTGATAGACTAGAACAGATTCATGGCTGTCAATATAATAGCGTCAATCACCCCTCATCCCAACATGATTCCTTTTTCAAAAAAAATTTTTTTAATGTTTTATTTATTTCTGAGAGAGAGAGAGAGAGAGAGAGAGAGAGAGAGAGAGAGAGACACAGTGTGACCAGTGGAGGGTCTGAGAGGGAGGAAGACACAGAATCTGAAACAGTCTCCAGGCTCTGAGCTGGCTGTCAGCACAGAGCCCGATGCTGGGCTCGAACCCATGAACCTTGAGATCAAGACCTGAGCTGAAGTTGGACACTTAACTGACTGAGCCACCCAGGTGCCCCATCAAGTCAGATTTCTTAGCTCACAATCTAAAGCCCTTTTCATGGGGAAGGAGCCCGCTATGCATGTGATATTGTGATTTATGAGAAGAACTATGTATTTGGTCTTTGCCCTTTTTCTGGCACAGAGTTCCTAACACCCTGGGAATTTCCTAACATAATAAGACCAGTAGTATTTGGTCTTTTGTCACTGGTTCCCGAAATAGCTCCAGAGCCATAAGGCAAAAGGAATGTCCTGTTATTCATAACGAGTCCCTTTTAACCACACCAGAATTTATGTTAATGAGGTGACTTTGGGAAGGTCTCTGGTAAACAAAGGATGGGGGGCTAGTTGCAAGGGCAACCAACCAGCTGATTAGAGGATCTGAACTTTCAATCCTGTCCCCAACCTCTAGGGAGGTGCAGGGCTAGAGATGGAGTTCAATCACTAACGGCCAAGGATTTAATCAGGCATGCCTATGTAATGAAGCCCGGGGCTCAGAGAACTCCCGGGGTGGTGAACACATGGAGATTCAGGGAGGATGGTCCCCCAGACAGGTTATGGGGGCTCCATGCCCTGTCCCCATATCTCACACTCAGCATCTTTTCCATTTGGCTGTTCCTGAGTTCTATCCTTTTATAATGAAATGGTAATCAAGTAAGTAAAAAGTTTCTCTGCGTTCTGTGAGGGCTCTAGCATTATAAATGAACCTGAGAAGGGGGTTGTGGGAACCACTGATTAAGAGCCAGTCAGGCAGAAGCATAGGTGACAACATGGACTTGTGATTGGTGTCTGAAGTGGGGGACAGTCCGGTGGGACTGAGCTCTTACCCTGTATGGCCTGATGCTACCTCCAGGGAGACAGTGTTGAAATTGAGTCAACTACTTGGTGGTGCTGGGAAACATACCTCAGAACAGGATTTTAAGAAAGGTGGGTTGGGAAATATTCCGTCTGGAGAGGGAGCACCACCATGGCAGGAAAAGACCTGTATTTCAGTGAAAGCAGGGTTAGTGCCACTTGCATCACCTACCTCTGGAATGGGGGTGGGTAGGGATTGAAAAATAACTGAGTCTATTATGTGAGTGGGAAATGACAAGATGACCTGGGCTTTCCAGCCTCAAGATGTGGTAAGGAATCCACTCTCCCCAGACCTGTTTCCTCATCTGAAAAATAGGTACTTTGCTTTCACTCTTGAAAGGATCAAATGTGGGGCGCCTGGGTGACACTTGATTTCAGCTCAGGTCATGATCTCACGGTTCAAGAGACTGAGTCCCGTGTCAGGCTCTGCACTGATGGAGCAGAGCCTGCTTGGAATCCTCTCTCTCCTTCTCTCTCTCCCCAAATAAATAAACTTAAAACAAAAAAAGATCAAATGAGGAGATAAGGAAACTGAAAGCCTCTACAAAGAAGCTAATCAGATGTATCATGGAGTCTGGCAGTATTAACGAGCAGGAAGGATTTGGAGGGCTGGGGAAGGATTTGGAGGGCTGAGAGATGGGATGACGGAGCAGCGAGGCACTCTGTTTCCTCTGAATTTCTGGAGCACCGTGCATGGCACTTTCCAAGCTGCCAGTGTGTATCAATGGTCCCTGCTCAGCCTGTATGGCTCCCACTCTTGCATGCGATGACAAATCACGGCCCAGGTTTATTGAGTCGTTACTGTGAGCGGCCACTGGGCTTTATGTGTTTCCTCATTTACCATGAAACAGAGTGGGTACTGATCTTAACTCTACTTTGCAGAAGAGGGCACCAAGGTGATACAGCCAGGGAGCCAGAGCAGGTACATGGCACCCAGGAAGACTGACTGTCCACTGTGTGCCCTGCTTGCCGGGCTGTGTGACAGGCAGGCTGGTCTGAGGAGGAGGCGTTATATGGCAAAAGGATCATAAATGCTACACAGATGCTGGGTGTTACTAAATAGGAACTTCAAATCCTCCACACTGTCCCAGCAATTTCTTCTGAAGCATCATGGGCCTGGATAATCCCATAAACTAAAACAATTGATAATTTTTTTTCCTGGGAATTCTGCTAATATGGAAGGATGGGACCATGCTTTCTACTTGGCACTGAGCCTGTAGCACGGGTTGTAAGACACTGAGTTTGCAAATTACCTTTAAAATAGAAAATAAAGGACAAAAGGTAAGAGGGATGGAGAGCTAAGGGGAAAAACCTAATGTCCCCACCTTCTTTCCTGAAAGGTCATTTGATGATCAAGATGGATTCTACCATTTTACTGGCCCAATCTTTTCTCGTAATTGTCCAGTCACGATTCAGCATCAACAGCCCTAAGGAATGATAAATAACTGTGATCTTTATGAGCTATGTGAAGGTTAAAATATCTAGGAAATTTAGATATCATTTTGGAAAGCAGTTCAAGCCAAAT